GATGGCACCACTACTTCGTGGGGTTAAATCAGCTACTGCATCGAGCTTCATGGTCGACATGATTAAGTTTTTGAAAGATTAAATTTAAGGATGGAGTTAGGGTTGAATAGTTTCGTCTTCTTTGAGGTTATGTTAATGGAAGTCGAAAAAATAAGGTTTTAAATATAGTGAATATATGCGACTTTTGATATTTATCGTTCCGATGGTTAATAGGAAAAGAATAATGCTTTTCGCAATATTAAAATATTTTAAAGTCAATTGAGATCAATACAAAAGATATTCATTATTTCTGGTTTTTATATCAATCACATCATAGACTTTAGCTTCTGTATAAATGTTGACTATTTGGTAAACATATGTAAGGTAAGTAAAGAATAGTTTTTTTCTTTCAATGATCTATGAGCTGTGTGATATATATATGGGTATGCATGAAAGTGAATCTCAAAACCTAAGAATATTTGGTAAGTATAATAGTAATATATAATAAAATGATGTATTCAGTAATGAGGATTTATAAAGAAATACAAACTACACTGAAACTACAATTATCAAGTATTTTCCTATTGATTTTTGTTAATTGTGATGGGTTAAGAGATGTATTCAATCTAAAAACTATCTATGCATAGGAACGAGTGATGATAATCATGAGTAATTTTATTTTTCCTATGCAAAGATTTATTGGAACTTGGTTTTTTCTTTGTATGTTATTTAAACTGATTGTAAGTAATCATTGTATAAGCTAATCGTTTATAAATTTGGGCTAATCTAGGGCCTTCGTTTTTGGTTTAATTTTCGTTAAACCCATTACTTTTAAAATTTTAAAATATTAAAACTGATCAAAATATATAAAAGCAAAATATAATAGAAAATCAATAAATTAAAACAACCAAGAAAATAGTTCTGACATGAAATATTAAAAAACAAAAAGCAATGTTTGTAAAACCGAGAAAGAAATTTAGTCAAGTTTATGTTTTTCCTTCTCATCCTTTGTAGCAACGTTGACATCATCTAGTACACCCATCTTCGAACATTGCTTTTTGGATGTTGATGACTGGGCATCTCCTTCTTTCATGTTACTCAAATCTCTTTTTGATGATGGAGTTGAGGAAGTTGAGATACCAACTTCAGAGGTCTCAACACCATCGCTTATCATCAGAGAACCCTATACAATTTAAATAATGTAAGAGATGATATATAAATCATAACCCTTATGTATATAGAATAATTTGATGACATTACTATTGAAAAATTTACATTTTAAAACTACACGAATCTGATCAGCCGAGTAAAATGATGATTGATCGACATATGTATCTGATAAGGAAATTTCAGGGACTGATGAAATTTTCCCATCAGAAACTTGTGCAACCCTATAAATGTCACATCTACCATTAATATGTTTGGGCTCGATGCAAAGAAGGAAAACAAATGATTTCCCAACTAAAGCTTTGATAGGATCTGGCAAATCTGTGGGATCTTCAAACTATATAATAATTGCGTTGAGTTAGTAATGTAATATGTTAATAAAAAATATATCAGATCAAATGACCCTTTAGGTATAATTTCAGTTGCAGCCGTCCCAACAATTTCTTCAGCAAAACTATCAAACAACATGATTCTTGTCTCACCAGTATGGTCCATGACATTAAGGTGAATCCAGAACCTTATTTTATGATAATGACAGCACATATATTAATACTTGCTATATATTTGCAACTTTCATGAGAATATGAAAATATTGGGTTTTTAAAAAAACTCACTTTGGAGAGACGCCTTTAGCGTAATTTTTACAGACCTCACACCAAAATTTTGGTATAGGTTTTGTTTTAACATCTTCCAGCTTAATGACGTCCTCCTTGATGGTTTTTTTTGTTGTATTTTTGACATGCATAATAGAATCAAGAATAGTCAGTATCATTTTCTTTTACCGTACAAAGTGTGCGGCACGATCCTATCTAAAATTTTGCAAATGGACATGTGAGTATAATGGATCATAAGATAAAACATCTTCTTAATATAAGTAAACGAATATATGAAACCACCTCAGTTGCTTGCAACAGTTCCTCAATAGTCATGATAGGATACTCATCCATGTCTTCTTTTTTAGTTCGACCAAAAAAGACAGTTGTTTGTAAATTACCCACGACCGTCAATTATGAACCATCACGGGTAAGGCTGTTTACATAATATTAAAAATAAAATGATATTAGTTATAACATTAATATAGTAGATAATTACTAATATTTATCTTTTTCGGAAACATATCTTTTCTTAATGTCTTCAAACATAGGTATGGCCATATTAATAAGCAATTGTGATGAGTCATAAGAATTAGAAACACTCCAAACATCTCAATTAGTGAATCAATATATATGATTGTAATTTCTAGAGTCTTTTAGTCTATATACATGATATATTTTTACATTCACTTTGGAAAATCGTATCAAACAAAATACAATACCATCCGTCGATTCTTGACATGCTTGACTTAGTGATTCAGCAAATTTTCCCCAAGGTGTACATAACACCCAAGTACCCCTATTATATGAGATAATTAATATTAAAATATAATATAAAATAAAATAATTTTATTCAAGAATTTACATGAATAAATCTGTTTGGTAAGCTTGAAAATTTGTAAGCTTACTCGTTGTTTCTCAAATGGAAGTCGATCTTCTTGGTAGGCTTAGTAGAAGTAGGAATATCTTGAATTTCACCACAATCATCGACTTGGCCCAAAAAGTCTGCAATGTGAAAAGTAAGCAAAATTAGTTAAACATTTAAAATAAACATTTCAATTAATTTAAAACTAATTAAAACATAACTAACCGAATAAATAATTCTTGTTTTGTTTCCCATTAAGAACGTCATCATAACTGGCCAATGTGAGAAACATATCGTCGAAAATGTTTTTAGAAGCTTGGACAAGTGTTTTCGACATGAAACCAATCTTAAACTTTATGTCCGATATTTTCAATGCATTATAAAAAGGAGTTAAAGCAGATTAGAAATAATGAACCAAGAATTTGGGATTAAAATTTTTACAAATTTTTTAATATGCTCCTTCTTGACGTTAGCAGCAATCTTATGACCCTATGAAAAATTCAAAGGAAATTAAATTTAATATCAAACTTATATAATTAAAATAAACACTATTATAATGAACAATTGTTATAATTTTAACTTACATAAATGTCGACCAAAAACATCTCAACTGTTTCACCAATTTTGGTGGAATACTGCTTCCAAAGATGCAAAACCTTCACTTGAATACGCCAATTAAATTTGTATGGTTTCAGCGCATTAAGAGAAGCGATGGGGAGTGTAGCGGCTAACATCTTATGATTCTCTAGTTTTAGGGTCTGACTGGTTTAAACGCAGCGGTTGCGGTTTTAAGCGTTATTATGCATTTTAAACGACTGATTGAGCGTTTAAAAATGGGTGGGTTTGCGGGAGTTTTATGACTGGTTGACCCGCAGGAGCAATATCGATTAAATGAAAAATTACAAAAATAGATATAAATATAATTATAAACATGTATAATTATACCAAAATCTATATTACTATGATAAAATATATTGAAAAATGAATATGATTGATAACTAATAAAAAGCCTTATTACTTGATAATTATTGATATATAACTATTTTAAAACAAATATTTTGTTTAGTAGAACACATTTAAGAAAAAATTAAAAAATTTAAACATGATTAATAATAATAAAAATATAAAAAAATTACTAATTATAAATACTAAATAATTATTCAAATGTTAAACAAATATGTTTTTTAGTTAAAAACAAAAAGTTAATAATATTGGAAAATAAATTTAGAGAATGATTTTTGTTTGAGAATTAATGTGAATATATATAGGATTTGAAAATATAAATTTTAGTTTACAGATTTTTCATTTTTAGATACTTTCCTTTTTTAAATCAATCGCAACCACCCGCAACCGCAAACGCTTGCGGGAAGGAGCTTTTGAAATCCAGCGATTTCGAGCGATCCAAAGCGGCGTAGAGCGTTTTCTGTGATTGGTACCAATCGCTTACAATCGCAAACGCCCGCTACCAACCGCTAGGCGGGTGAAAGCGGGAGAACCAATCAACACCTTAGTTAAACGTTTTGTTATGTTAGGTATAAATAAGAATTGGTTTATTTATAGTGTTATGGTGTCGTCATTGAAATTTAGGTTATGGAAGATTTCGAATCCCTTCAAGATATGCGGTTTCGATTTTTGATTATTACGAATATAATAAAAATAAGGAATAAAATAAACTTGGTTACAAAGTTTGTTATTGTTTTGGATGATATAAAAAAATCGTATATTCTGCTTATCAATAATAAGGTAGTTATGGTATCTATTCCTTAATTTAAGATATTAGTATTCGATTTCAATTATGATAAAGACTAAAATTACGATTTTTGTGTTGAGAAAAAAATCAACAAGAGGAAAGGAATATAGGGCCATGTAAGTGTTGGGCTAATAAACTCATACGTGGCCGAAAATTAAAACTTAGGCCCAAATAATTATATGGTTTGTAATTAATTTAAACGGTAAGAATTAAAAGCTTGCTTTTACAATGACCGACTGAGATTTAAAGTTATGATTTACGGGGAAAAGATTAGACGGTTAGGATTAAAAGCTTCAACTTATAAACAAACGGCTAAGATTAGAACATAAAAATTTCGGTTTTCAAAAGCGGGTCAAAAAGATCTATGCGTTTATCCGTATTTTGAGTTGTTTAGCAACAGTTTTAAGATTTTTTATACTATAGTTTTGATATGAATTTTTTTTTTCTTTTTTTTGGCAACAGGTTTAAATCGCTTTTGTTTTAATAGTATTGATAAGTATGTAGGGGTAAAAGAAAGAGTTAACCGCGTGAGTATTTCTTATGGTCCAATTATAATGATTTACATTGACCAGAAGAAAGCCTTTTATTTTAACAAACCATTTAAGCAAAGGAAACAAAACTATTTCTTCTTTGTTGGCTAAATTAAGTTACTTTCGTGTACACTATACTTGTTTCATCTGTTCATCTCGCTAGATTGGTTTATCTGCTTGCCTGTCGAAAAGTTAAGTTCATGGCGATGTTCCGATTCCTAGAAACGGTTCTTGTCTCTATTTTCTGATATATCTCGTTTAATCAATATATATAGATCTATCGGTTTATTCACTTTTTTATTTCATATTTCAAAGGGGAGATGGAAGATCTACAATGGCTTTGGTCTGGAATTGATTCGCAGGTATGAAACTCTTTACCAAACAATACTGACCTTAGTAGACCTATTCAATCTTATATGTAAAGAGCAATATATTTTGAGGTTATATTCTTATCACTGGTTTTCTGTTGAATTTGTAAATTTATGTGTTAGAGCATCAGACAACAATCGGAAATTTCCGAAAGATTCATTTTCTTTTTTAAAATTGACTGGTTATGCTGGCAACATGTTCTATTTTGGGTCTGCAATAAAATATCTTGCAATGAACAATGATTTAGCTTACTATATATTTCAATTTTGTTGTAACCCGACATGATCTTAATAATCTGGGCAGCATATAGTGTTTTACTTTCATTTTAATTAACTTCTCGTTGTATGTCTTTTAAGGTGAGGTACGATACCTTTGGCGTAAAATTTTCTATCTACTATTCTGCATCAAATGACCTTAGCCATAATCTGTCTTATATGAATCGATGTTCAAGACTATAGAAGTGCTGTCTGTGGCATGCATTATAACGGTATGCTAATATTAATACACAAAACAATCTAACTTACGAGGCAAATCAAACTATTTTTAAAGCTGGAATCTTATTATTTGTTTGCAGGTTTTAAGTGTTGCGTGTGCTGCGGTCATCGAAGAGAACAATCTAACCGGTAACCTTTTCTATAATTGATTTCAATGTAACAATAAAGTGGAATAAATTTTGAGAGCTTGAGTGAAACTATGTCCAGGTTAGTTAGTTATTTTATCCTGAGTTTCCCTTTTTTTGGGGAGTGATTATATCGCTGTACATTAGTTCTAACTGTATTTTTTTGCATAAAATTTGCAGAATGAGACTTCTAATGACGCTAAGAAGCGAAATCTGTTGTTACATCGACATCTAGATAAGCTATTAGATCCTGAGCAGGTTAGCACTTCAACTATCCTTCTATGTTTAGTTTTACATTTCTGGCAATGAATTACAATGAAAGTTAAACAGGGCAGGAAGCGTGAGTATACTAATTCCAAAACCGGGTTGTCAAGATAAAATTAATAAAATGAAGATGAAAGTAAAGTAAAGATCTTCAAATAAAACTGTGGGGAAAAAATGTTTGCCTAAGAATGTATATAGCTTTACATTTGCGAGTCACAAATATCACGGTAGTGGATTGCGGTTGCTTCCTTCTGAAACACCTGCAGAACATTTAAAAAAACTCAGTAATATATATCGCCATGATACTAATGGTAACATGTGCAGAATGTCTTGAGTTTAAATAGATACCTTGCTGAAATGACTTCGATATCTTCTAAATCAATTTCTCAGATTCTGGAAAACTTCTTTAAAAACAACATTCATTGTTTGTTTCTGTGATTGTCCGTCTTTATCCACAATTAGAATTTTCAATCCCTTCTTTGATGTCACCCTGGATAATGCTAAATAGTGTTGCCCATGAGAAAAAACTGGTCTAGGTAGAAACAAACCAACCTCGGTAAGTGATTGTCCTTGACTTGTTTATAGTCATCGCAAAAGCGACAGACATTGGAAACTGTCTTCTCCTCATCCTGAATGGCAATTTTGTATCGGTCTATCGGACGGTTTGATAAGAACCTTCGGAATCAAAACTTTGTGCCCAACTCTATCTCTATCACTTGCTTGGAGAACATTATTACCCATTTGGGTAATCTGCAATCTTGTACCGTTGCACAAACCACCGTTTGGATCTATATTCCTTAGAAGCATAACATGTGCACCAACCTTAAGACGTAGAGAGTGATTTGGCAAGCCAGAAAGTCGTATACTGTTTAGAAAATCTTGAGTGAAAATTGGGTTGTTCAACGACTCGCTATCCTGCGGATCAATACTGTCCGCATTTAAGTACACCATTTCTTCACCTGGTCAAAATTAATGGTAAATAGAGTATCATGTCGTTAGAGATTTAATAAAAGAAAGAATCAAAGTTAGTTGTATGCAAAGGTTTTAAGTTAAAATTTAAAGTTTACCTTGCAACTTCTCTAGTAAACGTTTGTTTATGGTGTTGACATCGTTATTGGTTGGGCATAAGATTGCTCTTGATTGGAAGAACTTTGGTTCAGTTCTCTTGTGCAATAATTCTAGATCACCATAAACTGCTCTGCTGTTGCTTCAATTGGATCATTACTATTTTTTTTTATAAAGAACTCCTCGGGAATATTAATCAAAGCGTCCCCATCATTTGGTTCAGCAACTTTGCCTTCCCCAACAGCTAATATCCAATCTGAAAACACTTTAATATCGCGGGCAGCACTTTCAGACAAATCCTTTGACATTAAACGCATGTTCTTTGTTATGGTTAGGAACTTAATGTGTTCCCAGAGATAAGATGAATTTAGTGCTGCAAGCACTATTTGAGCCCTTCCTGCACCATTGATAACAGGTAATACCTGTCTAAAATCACCCCCAAATACAACAACCTTTCCACCAAACGGCTTATTATCAGTATTCCTCATAATATCTGATAAACCTCTATCCAGATTTTCAAAGCTATATCTGCTCATCATTGATGGTTCATCCCAAATAATTAGAGATGTTTCTTCCAGCATATTAGCAAGATCAGAATCAGGACTGATATTACACATTGTGAAATCATCAGGATTTATAGGGATAGCAAACCTGGAATGAGCAGTCCTTCCTCCATCCAACAGCAAAGAAGCAATTCCGCTAGAAGCAACATTAATAGCAATCAATCCCCTATACCTCAAAGCAGCAGATAATGTTTTCCACAGAAATGTCTTTCTTGTGCTTCCAAAACCATAAACAAAAAATACTCCTCCACAATCTTTTAATACAACTGTTATGATCTCATCATAGATTGCTCTCTGTTCGTCAGTCATCATCCCTATCCACTCGTCATGCTTCTCTCGCAAAGCGTCGCGGAGGTAGTTTCTCTCTTCGGTGATTAAACGATTAAAGAGATCAACACCTATGTTTGTTGGCTTAGGTATTTTTTTGAAGTATTTGAAAGACCCACCATTGCGCAGCAACACCTCTTCAATTTCCTCAAGTGTATAATTCTTTTTTTCTTCATCTGTGAGGGTCAAATCTGCCATACACAGTAATTAAATTAGTGGTTTCATTAGGAATGAAAGATTATATTAAACGCAAATTAATAGAATGCTTTCAAAAATTTATCTGGATTATTATGTTGTTCTTGTTTCTTCCGCTCTATGTCCTCTGACAAAACTACGCAAGTACTATCCAATATATGCTCAGGTCTTGATAAACATCCATCTAACAACATCATAACGAAGAAATTACGGAGTTGATCACCGAAAAACCAAAGGGTAGCCTCAATTAGACTGTCTATATAGGCTTGGTCGTCCTCCAGAATACCGCGAGCCCAACATGCCTTCTTGTATGTGTCGTAAACAACAACTTTATATGTTCTAATATCGTCATCACTTTGAGGACCAGTTACTATGCCAAGAAGGATTCTCATGTAGTATTCATCTTCCATCCTGTGGGGAACAAAATTGATCCTTCCCAAACTGAAACCTCCATTCCCTTCTTATCCCATCCCATGTGAAATGTTTAGGGATTTCAGCATAAGTAAACTGCCTAGAAAATGCACAAACCTTGTTAAGATTTAAAAAGGCCATGAACATAGAATCTACGTTTTCTCGCCTTTCCAAAACATCTTTGATTTTCTCTTTCTCTTTGAAATAGACTGGTTGCTTTCTAGGAAGATGAAATAGGAGTTTCATGACTGGTATGCTTCTATACTGTATAGGAAACTTGAAAAGCCTCCATGCTGCTTCAGAAGCTGAGACATATCTACAAAATAACATGGATTGATATATTTAATAAGTAATGTTCTTTATTTTAAACGTAAGGAAATTTTTTTAAAAAAAGTTAAAGATTCACAAACCTGCAGTCAAAGTAATCCTTGATTTCATCAATCTTTTTTATTTCACCATCTCCACTGTCTGTAGTCTCAGCAGTAACTAGATCTGATCTAATGTTCGCCACAGGTTCGCTCCCATTACCACTATCTGTATTTTTCTGCTTAGGTTCTATCACGAAGGCAACACGATCATGGCCTTTGTTAATGTACTTAATAGAACCAGTCTGGTTACACCACTCAACATTGATATGAGCACGATAGCGTAATGATAAGAGTCTATTGTAAGGAACAACGTATTTGTTATCGATCTTGATACCATTCTTCTCAACATAATGTGTAGTTGGGCGTCTTCGATATATTGGAATCCATCTCGGCCAACAGTTGTTTCTTCAACGTACTCTTTTGGGAAAAAATTTGAGCACTTTCCGTCGACCATACATAGGGAATTCATGTTTGCTGCACCACACGGGCCGTGAGTCATACAATCCTTGATTACATTGTAGAGCTCAGGGTCTTTTCTTTATCAGGAATCTCAGCTGAAATGATTTTATCAATGTCGTCACCGGTTGGCAATTTACAACTTGGATCTATGAATAAAAGAATATGAGCATGTGGAAGTCCTCGTTTCTGGAATTCAATCGTGTACATTGCTGAGAAAAAAATTACCAAACAGTTCATAAAGGCTCGTTTTGTTAAAAAAAAAAAGTTGGTGATAATAACACGTACCAGCTATAGTCTTCCCTAATAGATGGTCTTCCGTTAGATCTTTCATAAGAGCATCTAGTTTGATCTTGAAGATCCGACACATGATGTCCGGTCTATCGTCAGAACTAAGTTTGCGCTTTTTCAGATACCTTGTGATTTCAGGTCACTTTGGATTACATGTAAATGTAATGAATAAATCTGGGAAGCCATACTATTTACATGTAGCCATTGCATCATAATAACTTTGTAACATATACCGCGGGCCACTGGTAAATGATGCTAGTATTCGTATAGCCTTTCCCTGTTCTTCCTAGTTATTGTTTCCCGCTTGTGCTGCAGCTTTAATTGATGAAAAATCCTGGCACCGTAGATTAGATTGGTTATATTTGATATAAGATAACCTGTTTGATTCCAAAGATGTGTATCCATCAACCAAACACTGCTGGAAAAGGCGCTTTGAACGCAGTAGAGTTCGAGCTTCATCCTCTCTTTCTCAGCTTCTATATGCAAACCACTACCTCATGCTTATGTCTTTTTCTTCTTTATCAGCTTTTCCTCTGCTACATTTTTTAATCCCAACTCTGAAACCATCTTCACCGTAAGGGAAAAGAAGAGGATACTGTAGTGGCAAGTAGGAGACATGCACTTCACTTTTCTTTGTAACTTTCCGGTACTTTTTTCTTGGACAACTATGTCGCGTCCTGGAATCTCGGGACGGAAATCATCGGGAATCAATGCTGCAACTTTTGATGCTGTTGGCATGGAATATGTTCTTCAATCTTTGCCCACACGATCACTTAGAATTTGCAAGTGGTGGAAACTTTCATCCTCCTTCTCAGCAAACTTGTCTTTGGCTTGTCTAAAAGGCTCAACGTAGGGATTGACTTCATCTAACATTTTGATGAGCATCGCAATGAGCTCCTTTCTAATACTTTTCTTTACTTTCCCACCAGTTGAATGTTTCCCCTTGCTGTCATATATCATAGGAATACAAAATATATTAGCATATTTCAACAAAATAAAAGAACGAAATGGGCTATAACTCTTTCATGAGATTTTGAAACGATTGTATATATAACCAAAGAGGACTTTAGAAACACACCTCATGACGCTGGTGCGATTGTCAATCTCATTTTCAGTGTCGACTATATAGAGTTGAGAAAATTTTGCATAATCCCCATCGTCTGGTTTAAGACTTCATATTGTGGAAATTTTGACCATGTAACTTAAACTGTTTAGGTCCTTTACCTTTTTCAATGAAGCGATCTACTTGGCCTCCAAGAGAAGTGAAAGCGAATAACATATTATACGCTCTAATGTTGTCTCGAAAATGCCTTATGAGGGCATCACTCTAGTTAACAATTCTCTAATTAGCTCGGGAGCTTCTGCAAGTATTGGTAACTGAACAGATCCTTGTAAGCAACAAAGAGAGAATTTTGGTTTTCTAGTCTTCTGTCGCTTGTTTACTCGCTCATCATACCACATCATGGCACCACAATAGGAACATTTAAATGTTGGATCACCGTGATCTAAATACTCGGTCCACTAAATCCTTTTTGACCCCTTCTAATTTTGCGACATATATCGCCAATAACACCAGCAAACTGTGTGTTTTGCATGTTGTCGGCTTCATCTAGTGATGTGTCCGAACAGTTGTCCTCTTGACTACTAACGTCAAATACCTGATCATTGTCACTCATGTCCTCACCTGTTCGTTACAATTAGATTTTAGGTGATATATTATATGGAATACAAAAACTAATTTCTAAGTAAATGTTTGGTTTGTATATATACCTTTTGTTGATGAAGCATAAGTGGTGTGATGAGTATATGCTTCCAAATCAGCGGCCGGTTTGCTTGGTTTTGTTTTTTTTCCTTGACCGGTTCTAGTATTTTATATTTGCAATTAATAGGCAGATCAATAGATATTAATAATCCATTGTTGATTCAAATTTCTCAAATACTTGAAATAATGATATGAATTTTATTAAATAAAACCTTTTTGTGCAGATTCAAAAACTTGTCGGAACAGCTGCCTTCTGTCTTCTACAACGTTCATGTTGGTTAGTAATGTCTTTCAAGGCTGTATTTATATTCCTTTTCAGGGGTCTTGTAGGTGGTGTGTAGAGCTTGTCAAAATGAGTGATGCGTTCTGGTAAGAGCATAATGTTTGGCATACATGTAGGATTTTAGCATCAAACACTATTGTGACATTCTGTAAGTTAATCTTAAATCATAATTTTTGATATGCTATCTTACCAGGCTGATCATAATTTTTGATATGCTATCTTACCAGGCTGATCATAATTTTTGATATGCTATCTTACGAGGCTGTGTACTGAAGTCCTTAGAAGGCAAGAATATAGGATCACCAGAAGCTAGTGTAGTTGTTAATTTGACAAATGTTAAATAAGCACCGCCGACACCTGTAGTATAAAAAATAGTCATGTATATATTAGAACAGTTAATCACCTAAGTCCTTTTCTTGAATAAGATAATCCTTATTCCCAAATAAAGACTTACTCCTGGTTGTTTGCTTTCTTATCTGAGCCATGTGTAGCATATGATTGGGAGATGTCTACATGATGTAGATTATAGTTGTCTACTTCAGAGTTTGTTTCACATTAACGTTTGCCTTATTAGATGAGCTCTTTGTGGCTATTTGTGGGAGCTGATTCCACCTAATGTTTACAAAGCGTGCTTCGGGACTAGTTCACTTACCCGAGCCCAAACTGGAAGTAACTTTCTGTAAAATAGAAGCAATAGACTGGAAATGATATCCTTTATTAATCGTAAAAATCTTTTTCGACCCCTTACAAATGACCCCCCCTTCTCGCTTATATACAAACTCAAGACAATTAATACCAAACGCGATCCTAGCTCCAGAAATCCTGCGATATTCATTATGGCCTCGTTGACCAAATCGTTCGCCCGTTACGATCTCATCTTGACTGTTCCTTTCGTCTCAGTTCGCGGGCCGATCGTAAACAGGCCGGATTCAACTACGTTACTTTCCTTCTGGGCCTGGACCGTGAAAAGCCCAACTATCTATACGGTACCAATTCTGGTGCCCACAGTTTGCCCCCCAAGTCTTCCGAAGTGGCATCAGTTCGGAAGACTTTAATGCGGCCTCGATTTTGGAAACCAAGATCCTCGAATCGTCATGATTGATTTGCCTCGATTCGCGGTTGCCTTTTCGGCTTACCGCGTCTCCTTGTTTACCGCGAGGGCGCCCCTACGCTTGAGCTATTAAGGTCGTGACCTTTTAGCTTCCCTAGGCCATCATTGCGTTTTGAGAACGAAGCGGCTATAAAAGGTACGAATCCTCCTCGCTTCTTTTCTCTTCTCTCTTCTCTTTCGTATTTCTGCTTTTCTATTTCCGCTTTTCTTCTTCGCTGCAATTTCTTTCTCCGACCGATCTGCCGTCCCCGTCACTACTTCTCGCCGGCGATTCGTGAAAAATGTCTCCACCGAAGCAATCAAGCCTGCCCACCGAGGACATCATACCGGGACAATTTGGCCCCCATCCTCCGTCCATGATTAAGAAGGATGACTTAATCGGTGTTCGCTTCCTCTGCGGCCTTCCTTCCGAGACCAAAATCTTAGCTCCGACCAGAGAGCAATCGCCGGAAGATCCCCCTGAGGGATACTGCTGTGCCTATGAGATTATGTTCTCCAACTGCGGCCTCTACTTCCCGCTACCGGAGCTCCTGGTAAAGGCGATGTACGCCTTGGGTGTGGCACTCCCCCAACTGTGCCCGAACTTCATCCGTACTGTCCTCAGCCTTCAGACTCTGGCGGAAGAGCACGGATATCTCCTGACCTTCCAAGACATCCTCCATTTATATACAATTAAGGGGGGCCGAACTAGAGGGACCTTCTACCTCAGTCCGCTCGCCGGGCTCCGGGTGTTGGAAGATCTACCCGAGAAGGATGAGGATTGGCGAAGTGGCTACTTCTTTCCTGTCGACAGCTCCACCTTTTGCGAGCTGACGGACCTATTCGTCCCGAAGTGGTCCTCGAAAAATGGTAGAACCACGGAGGAGAACCGAGCTATTTTTTACTCGCCTACTACCTTTACGCATTTCACCGAATTCTGACTGCATTTTTTTTTCCTTTTTCTTACCTCTAGCCAGCTTAGACCGCGGCTCCCTATCCCGCACCTTTGCTAATTGCTTCATAAGCTTCTGCGGCAGCCAGGTTACGTGGGACTCTTTCACCTCTCACCGAATCAGGGAGTCCGGAGCCCGTATCCGTACCGGTTCTCTCATCACCAGCTCTCCTCAACCCGTACTCCCTCGGAACGTGAACTACCACGAGGAGAGAGCTTACAAAAAGCAGGCGGAGCTTCGAGAGAAGGAGTTGAAGAAACAAATGGTCACCGCCCTTGCTGAAGGAAAATCCAAAACTCCAGCTAAGGAGAAAAACTCTGGTTCCACTGCTCCACCTGAAGCCCGGACTCGCATATTAGTGGCTGTTGATACTACGTCTGCTTCGGGTGAAAGGAGCTCCTAGCCCCCTACTCCTATGAGTACCCAAACCGGGAAAGAGACTGGCAAGCTCTCTAAAAAAAGGAAGGCCCCGGACTCCACGCCGATATCCAGGGAAACATCCCGCCCCCGTACGAGTGACTCAGCGAAGCAAGCTGGGACCGGCTCGTCCACGAAGCGAGCTGAAAGTGGTTTGAAAGGGACCAATCCACCTCCTGCTACTGGGCAACGAGGTGAAACTCGGCGCGAGCTACCAGGTACCACTTACTTCGCAATTTGTACTGTTATTTTTTTCTTTCCCGTGTGACTAACTATCGGACCGTTTCAGCTCCCCCAAAGTCACTTGCGGACATGATGCGCAGCTTTAGCCGCCCTGGAGCCCGAGTTCCTCCCTTTAAGGAGATGGCCGACCTCAACCGAGAAAACTACTTCCGCTTTGCGGAGAAAGTCGGAGAGGTAATCGTTCAACTGACCCCTAAAATTGCAGAAATAACTTCATTAGGGTTTATCAATTCTTGATTGAGCAGCTTCCTTGACAGACCCTTATCGAGTTCAACAGTGCTGTGGCGAGCTATGAACACCAATTGCTTTCCAACCCTGATGCCAGCGACATCAAAGGAATGCAGTCCCAGATATCCGAGCTGGAAAAACGGGTGAAGCGCCTTACCGCCGCCGAGGCAGCGAACCAGCTCGAGGTGGAGAAAGCCAAGAAGTCCAACGCTCGTCTGAAGCTGATTGAGTCCGAGCTGCGTATCGCCGAGGCCTCACTGGAAGATTCTCGCGATAAGCAGCAGAAAGCCAGAGAGCTATACCTCCAAGCTGTTGAGGCAGAGGCTCTCGCGAAGAGAGAAGTTGAGGAACTACGACTCCGGAACCACGCAATGGAGATCGGGTTCAATGCTGAGATAAAGAGAGCTTGCCGCGAAGAGAGGAGAAAAACCCGAGCTCAACTTCGGGAGGCCGCCGAGGGCGTGCATGCCTTTCTCGATGACCACAATCGCTTAGTTCCTGCCACTATCCGTGCTGCTGAAATTACAGCCAACCGGATGCTTGTGGAGGAGATTGAATCGGGAGAGATTGCCGACCTGAAAGCTGAGCTCGAGACTCTCAAAAAGGACGAGCTTGAAGCCCTGCAGACTGCAAAAGAGGTACTGAATACTCAACTTAATCCTAGGGATTTTGATAAGTATTGGGCAGATACCCCCCCCCCGAGCTTGAGCTGGGTTCGGCATCTGCCCCCCTCGTGATCGATGAGTCGGAGACTAATCCTGCCAATGTCACGACTCAGGACGTCGTGCGTGTGTGGCCTGGCGCAACTGATGGGATGCCCGTTCTGCCGGCTATTGAGGGCACGGAGCCAAACGCTGCCGAGGCGACCGGAGTTGATGATCCTCCCCCGAGCTCGGAAGCTGGTGATCTGAACTAAGGGGTTGTTTTGGTCTTTGACCCCCCTTTTGTTGCCTTTTTTTTTTTTTAGACATGATCTCGAGGTGTTTTTGACCTTGGTGGTCTCACCCTTTTTATTCTTGCTATACTTAGGGTGTTTTTGACCTCGGTGGTCTCACCCATGCATGAAACTTAAAATCGTTAATTTCAAAAATATTCTATTTAGTTCGAAACTCGCATCTTTCGCAATTCTGCAAGAAAAGCAACTTTTATTTTATTGAGTAGGAGCTGGACCTTTTTAAAAAAAAAAAATAAGGCTGCCTACGTACCCACAAACTGCGGGATCAAGCCAATCGTAGTTCAATTACATGGAATTTTTAAGAAAAATACAACTTTAAATGCATTGCGTTCCACGACCTAGGGACTAGTTTCCCCCTTAAGTCCTCTAGCCGACACACTCCATTTCGTACCTCGGAAGTTATTTTGTAAGGACCTTTCCAGTTAACGCCTAACTTTCCGGCATTCAACTCTTTAGTGTTCTCGTAAACCTTTCGTAACACCATGTCACCGACCTTGAGTTCACGATGCTTGACTTTAGAATTGTAATACCGGGCTATTGCATCATGATAGTGCTGCAAACGGACCATAGCTTGGTCCCGTCTTTCGTTAATGACGTCTAGAGAGTCCCTTAGAAATAAATCGTTCTCCGCGCTCATTCCCGGGTTTAACATAACCCGAACTCCGGGCACCTCGAGTTCGGCAGGGACAACTGCCTCCACTCCGTAAACGAGTGAATATGGTGACTTTTTAGTTGACCGTCGAGGGGTAGTTCTAATCGCCCATAACACCCCTTGCAGCTCCTCCGCCCACCGACCTTTATACGCATCGAGGCGTTTTTTAAGATTCGACAGGATTACCTTATTCATTGCCTCCGCTTGCCCGTTTCCCTGGGGATATCGTGGGGTTGACTTGTTAAGTCTTATTTTCAACTCCGCGCAAAATGCCTCGAACTGCCGGGATATGAACTGCAACCCGTTGTCAGTCACGATCTCAGAAGGGACTCCTTGTCGACAGATAATTTCCTTCCATACGAACTGTTTGACCTGCCCTCCACCAATAGTGGAGTACGCTGCTGCCTCCACCCACTTAGAGAGGTAATTGTAAGAACTAGCAAAAACCTTACTCCCCTGGTCGAAGTATGGAGTGGTCCGATGATATCCATAGACCACCTCATAAACGGATATGGGGAAGAAATAGAGGATAACAGTTCGGAAGGCTGATGAATTGTAGGAGCATGCCGTTGGCATTTGTCACACTTCTTAACATACGCCTCGCACTCCGCTGACATGGTTTGCCAAAAGTATCCCTGCCGCTTTATTTTGAAGGCCAACGTTCTCGCCCCGGAATGATTACCATTGGGCCCATCGTGAACTGTCCTCAATAAAAATACCGGGATCCTCACCAGCCACAGATGTTAGGTAAGGGCCTCCGATACTTCTCCGAAGCAAGCCATCGTTATGTAAACAGAACCTCCCACTGACAATTTTAACTTTCCGCGCCTGCCATTTGTTTTTGGGCAACCCCCCCCCCCCCCGTAAATAATTCAAGATGGGAGTTCGCCAATCTTCATTCGCGACCTGAGGCAAGAAAGTTTCTCCTACGTCTCCTATTGCTTCGGACTTATCTGCATCCTCCGAGGCTACCCAGAAAATTGCTTCGGATCCGCCCTCTTGCTGAGGAGCTGTTATCCTGGTACTGGTTTCCGTGCCACTTTCGTCTTTTTTCGACTATCTAGAGCCGAATCCCCCGAGCTCCGGGGACGAGCCCTTTTAGCTCGCTTCACCACCGGGAGTTCGGGAGGAAACTCCCCCCGGTCCATACGGCGTTCCATTGACCTCGTAACTACGTTCACTCCGGAGCCCTCCAACTGAATACTAGGGTACTCAAGTATTTAAACCGGGATGACTCTAGTAGTGGTTGGATCCGACGTGGAGGCTAAAGATGCCAACGAGTCCGCGACTGAATTTTTGGCTCTGGGAATCTTATTGAGCTCGAAGTGACGAAACTTAGAAGTCAACTCCCGAGCTTGATTCAGGTAGGCTCCCATACGTTCATCTTTAGCTTCATAGTCTCCAGACATTTGACTTACGACCAACTGGGAATCACAGAACGCATGCAAACGCTGTACGCCAATTCCTACAGCCAAGCGGAGTCCGGCCAGAAACGACTCGTACTCGGCTTCATTATTAGAGGCGACGAAGGCGAGTCGGAACGACTGCTCAAACACTTCATTAGTGGGTGACTTCAACCGAACTCCTATCCCACATCCATTCTTAGACGAGGCTCCATCGACGTGCAACGTCCATGGGACGTTCACCTCCGTTTGCCTCTGAGAATCTGACAATGGGAGCTCTACCAGGAAGTCGGCGAGCACCTGGGATTTCGCCGCTGTCCGAGCTCGGAACTCTATATCATACTCAATTAACTCGATTGCCCACTTGGCCATTCGACCGGACTGACTTGGGCTATGGAGTATAGTCCGAAGCGGCTGGGACGTAAGAACCACCACTGTGTGGGACTGGAAATAGGGCCTCAGCTTCCTAGCCGACGTTATCACGGCGAGCGCCAACTTCTCTATCATCGGATAACGGGTCTCGGCTCCTGTGAACGTTTTGCTAACGTAGAAAACGGCCCTTTGTTCCCCCCTTTCTTCTCGAACTAACACGCCGCTAACCGCGTAGTCCGACACAGCCACATAGAGGAAGAGAGGTTCCCCCAGTTCTTGTTTAGCTAAAACAGGAGGATTCGTCAGGTATTTTTTGAGTAACCCGAAGGCGAGCTCGCACTGCTCATTCCAGACAAAATCCTTACTTCCCTTTTTCAAGAGCGTAAAAAAGGGTAAGCATTTGTCTGTTGACCGCGAGATAAACCTGTTTAGAGCCGCGATTCGACCATTCAAGCGCTGTACTTCTTTTACACTTCTCGGCGAACTCATAGATAAAAAGGCCTTTATTTGCCTCGGGTTAGCTTCGATCCCTCTCTCCATCACTATGTATCCCAATAACTCTCCAGACGGTACCGCAAAGGTGCATTTCGATGGGTTTAACTTCATCCCGAACTTATTGAGGATTGCGAAACAATCTCGGAGATGTCCGACGTGAGAACCAGCGTCCATGGATTTTACCAGCATATCATCGATATAGACCTCCATCGTCTTCCCTAATAGGTCGGAGAACATTCTATTCACCAGACGCTGATAAGTTGCGCCCGTGTTCTTCAGCCCGAAAGGTATCACTTTGTAGCAATACGTTCCCCGATCTGTTATGAACGCTGTCTTCTCATGACCTCCGGATTCATCAGTATCTGATTATACCCGGAGAATGCGTCCATGAAGGTTAACAGCTCATGGCCTGAGGTAGACTCCACCAACCTATCGATGTGAGGGAGAGGAAAACTATCCTTCGTGCATGCCTTGTTGAGGTCGGTGAAGTCCACACATACCTTGGACTTCCCGTTCTTTTTCTTGACAATCACCGTATTTGCTAGCCACTCAGGGTACTTCACTTCACGGATGAGGCCGGCCTTGAGAAGGCGATCCACCTCAGCGTTAACGATGTCGGCTCTCTCCTTTCCCAGCTTCCTACGCTTTTGCTTAATAGGCCTATATGATGTATCCACATTTAGTTTGTGAGAGATAACGTCGATGCTTATGCCAGTCATCTCACTCACATCCCAGGCGAACGTCGACTTATTCTCGTTCAAAAAAGCGACCAGTTCACGTCGGACTTCGGTCGTTAAACCAAGGCCAATCTTGATCCCTTGATCCGGGAACTTCTCATTCAAGTAGATTTCTTCATATAGTTCACCTTCCAGCTTCTTTCTGACCGGATTTTTTGTGACCTCGAGCTGTGGTTGCTATTGCACCAGCAGCTTATGCCCTGCAAGATAACAACTCGTGGCGGTTCGCTGGCTGCCCAAGATCTCCCGAACTCCCTCTGGGGTAGTGAACTTTACACATTGGTGGTATGTCGATGGAACAGCCTTCATTTGGTGCAACCAGGGAGTTCCGAGTATTGCATTATAGGCCGCAGGTCGGTCGAACACCGTAAACTCTACCATCTTTGATACACCCTGAGCGGAGACCGGAAGTACGAAAGTCCCTAATGACATTGATGTCTCACTGGTAAAGGAGACCAAGGGTGCAGGCGGTCTGACTATGTGGTTTCTGCCAACTCCCATTCTGGTCAACGTATCCAAGAAAATCAGGTCCACCGAGCTACCTGTATCAACCAAAATCCTACACACCTCGTGGTTCGCGACGTCCAAAGTAATGACCAGCGCGTCATCATGCGGGAAATCCAGAGTGCTAGTATCCTGTTCGGAGAAGACTATATCGGGGCATTTTTCCTCTGCTGACCTGGTTCCCCGAGGTACTGCCCCGTCGAGTTTTCTCTGATGGTCTTTAATAGCTCGGATTGAGTTCCTAAATATCCGGGAGCCTCCCATTATAACATCAATTCTCTTCTTATGCTCCTGTGGTATTTCCTGGATCAGGGGGGTTTTAGATCTTTTAGCCGGAGGAACTTCGTCTTCGTCCTCCGTACCCAATCCAGGGGAAGCTTCAGTTATTTGCTGGACCGAATTTTGCGCTTGATCCAGCTCTTCTATCGTTATCTCTGGCATTCCGCCATTAACGAATCGCTCCGCCAATAAGTGCATGAGCTTCTTACAATTCCTGGTCGCGTGCCCCCCGACCTTATGCAGTTCGCAGTACGAATCTTCCTCCTTCGGACTAGGTTGGTCACGAACCCACTTGTTATTAGGGAAGGCTCCGTTCTTAAGGCGGGAAGTGCCAACTGACTTCCTTCTCTCACCCTTCTGTTCTTTGTCAACTGCGAACGTCGCCGCTCCGGGTCGCTGTCCTTTTCTTTGACTTGGGTCGAGGTTCGCCTTTGGCGCGACTTTATATTTTTTAGCCAAGGCTGCTTTCTCTTCCTCTGCAACGATCCAGTTCGAAGCTCGGTGCAGGGCGTCCTGAATGTTGGAAGGCCTATTGACCGTTAGCTCCTCCCTGAATCGGGATTCGTGCCATAGCCCATTCTTAAGGGCAGACAAAGCAGCGGGATCAGAGAGCCCCGGAATCTGCACCATTATTTCTTTGAATTTATTGACATACGAACGGAGTGAGTCGCTGGGACCCTGGCTAAGATTCCATAGATGAGCGTCAGTAATTCCTACTCCGATGAAGCTGGAGTACTGCTTGATGAATGCGGTTGAAAATTGGGCGAAGCCATTCACCGACCCCTCACTAAGTGAAGCGAACCAACGGAGGGCTGGTCCTTGGAGTGTTTCCGCGAACAGTTTACAGTACCCTGCGTCTTCTTCGTGTGACTTGAAGTCCACCCGGCTTGCCGTGAGCAGGAATGTCTGGAGGTGAACCTTGGGGTCTCCCTTCCCCTCATAACTCTGGAACTTGACCTTCCGAGTGTCCTTGAGTCTGGCCATCGAGATCCGAGGTGAGAACGGGGTCTTCTTTAACTCCTCAATCACCCGATCCACATCGGGTGCCGCGCTCGTAGCGTTATGTACTTTGGACTGCATAGCCCGAATCTCATTCTGAAGGAAGGTTATCTCGGGGTTCACCGTGGTGGTAACCCTTCGGTGAGGTGGAGTTCGGATACCACCGAGCGCCGAGTCCCCACCCCCCTGCTGAAGCGTTTCCTGGGCCGGAGTGGAAGGATCATCCCCACTCTCCCCCTCAGGGGCTGGCAAACTTGCCCTTAACACCGGAATGGCGTGGCGAGCCGAGCTAAGAGGCGTCTGCGGTTGACCACCGACGAACTCCAGCCTACGGGTCAGCGGGGTTGCGCCCCCCGCTGCTAGCGCGTCGACTTGGTCGGCATAGGCGTTGTGAGCGCTTGACAGCCCGGTGACGGTGGCTGACAGGGTCGCCAACTGGGCTGTGCATCGAACGTCGAGGTTACCCACCTTCTCGGTGAGCGACGTGGTGGCCATCTGCTGCTGCTCAGTTTTGCCGGCGACCTCCTGCAACAAAGCGAGAATAGACTCGAGACTTACTTGGTTTTCTTCGGCTGCCATGGTGCTTAGTATCGAATTCTTTAGGAAAATAGTCGGAGGACCCCTCCTTCTAGCGCCAAAATGTGGGAGCTGATTCCACCAAATGTTTACAAAGCGTGCTTCGGGACTAGTTCACTTACCCGAGCCCGAACTGGAAGTAACTTTCTGTAAAATAGAAGCAATAGACTGGAAATGATATCCTTTATTAATCGTAAAAATCTTTTTCGACCCCTTACAAATGACCCCCCCTTCTCGCTTATATACAAACTCAAGACAATTAATACCAAACGCGATCCTAGCTCCAGAAATCCCGCGATCTTCATTATGGCCTCGTTGACCAAATAGTTCGCCCGTTACGATCTCATCTTGACTGTTCCTTTCGTCTTAGTTCGCGGGCCGATCGTAAACAGGCCGGATTCAACTGCGTTACTTTCCTTCTGGGCCTGGACCGTGAAAAGCCCAACTATCTATACGGTACCAATTCTGGTGCCCACACTATTGGAAATAGTTTGAACGATTTCAAAGCTTACACTTGTTTCCTTGGTTTTTCTCTAATGAAGTTCCTGGTTTTGCATAGGTCTGGCTTATTTGGACGTCGTGTAGTTGAGTGGTGTCTTTATGGGTTACTACAAAGCAAATGGTAATTATGATTCAACCTTTACTGCCCGGGTTCAAGAATTAGAAGACATATGTTGTTTCGAATAATGTCTAGTATTTTACCTCTAAGAGCTTCTTCACGTATGGAACTGCTGTAATCGACATTGTTAGGGGATGAGTAACATTGGTTGATTGCAACAGGATTAAGGTTTCCTTTCTCGTATTTTGATAGCAGCAGTTCTGTAAAAGTCAGAGAAAAAAAATTCTAGAACTTTAGAATTCTCAGTCCTGCTACCTGTTTCAGTTTATATTTAATTCGATTGTTGATATTCTATACCTCTTGTAGGTACTTTTGAACCACTGAACAAACACGACCTCTGACAGCTTCCAGATTGATTTGGTGTACAAACATTCTCATAGGTAAGATTTCAGTCTAAACTGAACCTGATCCGTACCGGAGTTAATCGATTCTCTATGTTCAATGGAACAACACCTGCTGCAGTAATTGTGAACATTAGGCAGGTGGTCAGTTTTTTCTAAGTTAATGATAATGAATACATGTACAAACTTGCAGATCGTACCTTCATGGTCGTTACGGTTTCTCTGATGTGTAGGAGTAGTAGAAGTCACAATTTTAACTGTGTTGAAATTAGTGAGGTCTATATAGATCCTACCATACACAAATTTCAAATTTGTAGGCTGATATATTTTCTATACAAATAAAGCGCATTTGCTTTCCTCATAGACGATTGTTTAGTGATCTGGAGTATATTTGATTTTTTTCCACACTAATTGAGCACTTTGATTTTGACTGCAATTATTGTTTCCATAAACACGTTAATTATTCTTATGATATGTTGAGGGACTACAGATATCTTCTAGGAGAAGATCATTCTAATTCATCTCCTACAGGTGTGTTGAGAAAACAAAATATTATTTTTGGAAGCTAAATAACTTATGTCATTATTAGTATGCATTTTTTTGAGAAGTTGATGTGGTGCTGTTAAAGTCAAGGCATATTATCTCCAAACTAGGTTTGAACCCGCGGTACACCGCGGGTCTGTTGTTTTATAATAGAGTTTGTGAAATTCTATTTTTTTTTAAGATGTTTTGTTTTATTGAATATTGTTAGTAAGAAATTTTTGATAGTCATCATATGTTGCATTAGTGTTTGATTTTATTGTTGATTACTTTTACTCATGGTTTGTATGGATTTTTTTTTCTTAAAACATTGCAGTGTAATTATAAGTGTGCATTCATTTAACTCAATGTGTTTAGTATGATTAGGCCGAGATATTCAGGTTTTCAAATCGGATTTGGGTAGAACCCGTTCAGATTCGGGTTATATAAGTTTAGGAAAATATAACCCATTGGATACTATCGGGTACGGGTTGGTTTGGATTACAAATTTGAAATTTCTGAACCGAATTACTACCCAAACTCCTTAAAATTAGATAAATTTAAATAATTTTAGCTAAATTTTGATATATGTAACAAATAAATTTTGTATATTTTGATTATCTTGGGTATTTAGGTTTAAAGTTAATTAATCAAAAAATATTTGTTTGTATAAACCAAGGTTTGTTTGTATATTTCATATATTTGCTATTATTAAATATATATATATATATATATATATATATAATTGGTTTATTGGTTATTCCTTTGTAAACCTATGTTTATTGTCTTGAATTTGGACATTGACTAATTGCCCTGACAAAACCGGTTAACTATCTATTTTTCGGGTCAATAAATATCTAATGTTGGACAAAAAACCAAAACAGTAAATGAATTGAGAAAAAAAACGCAAATCTTTTTATCTGCATCTGCCTCATGTTCATCTTCTTTAGACGATCGACTGCTTTTCACCTGGAAAGATAAGTAAACATATTCAGATTTTACTCTAATGAACAAATTAACCTCCATATGTGTGTTCCGGTTCATATGTTGGTAAACCCGAACATATGTGTGTTCCGGTTCTGAAAACAAACTGCAGTTGCTTGCGTTGGTGTAGTAATGACTTGTCACCTACACGGATAAAATAGATTAAGACATTGGTAGAACAAATACATATAACTTGTTGTAGCAGAATAAAGTTTATATTTTATAAAAGATCAAATGATAAAGATACCTAATTTTTGAAAACTTCTTTAAACACAACATTCATTTAAACACAACATTCATTGTTTTTTATTTTTTTTTATTCTCCCTCTTTTTATCATAAGCATGTATCTTCGTACCTTGTTAACAAACATGTTAACAAAAGTCAAAGCAAACATTGATTGTCTAACATTATAGTTTTAGTCAATAAAGCGATTGTTTAAACTTACCTCTTTGAACTGGATGTATACGTTTCCATGTATAAAGATCATAAAGGACCCTAACTTGGATTTTTCATGATATCTTGTAGGGTTTGAGTTCTCAAACAAATGCGAAAGCTAAAGACATATCGTGGGTTGTAGTTATTTTTATAAGTCTGAAAAGAGTTTAGTGTTTGACTCTTTGATCTTCTTAGTCAGCGATGTTTGTCGTATATTTATAGATGTGGCAAATTTCTGGCAGTTTTGATATTGAATATGCTTAAGCTTGATTAGCAATATTTTAATCTTTGATACTGAATTCATTTTCGGAAATAGAAATTAAGTACGCGATAATTATGCCAGTAATTAGTATATAGATTCAATCAAAATTGATATAATTGATATAAATTAGTGACTTAGCAAATATTTACTTATGATTCCCCGTAAATATCTCGCATTCCTTTGTTGTGAGTTGTGACTAACGAAATGGTCACTAATGCACGGAATCTTATGTTTCCATTACGATAAGAACATAAAGTTTTTGGATGCACCTACGTGGGTTTAGAAAGTCTTGGATAATGGACTGGATTTTAAATTCATATAAGTGGGCCTTTTTAACATTAATAAATTGGAATATGGATTCAACGGGGATTCGTATGTGTCTAACTATAACAACGAAAGAAAAGGATCTGAAAGTATACTGGCTGAGCTTTTTAAAAAGACGCGGATCCTTAGTAGAATTTTCAATTGGCTATTTTTTATGCCAAAAGTACCCCTGCCGATTTTCAATTTGTTTTTCTATTATACATAATTGAAATTCAATTTCAATGATTTGAAGGACATTTTAGTATAATTTTTAATTTGTACTTCTCTTTTAATTATAAGAAGATTTAATACCAGTGTTTTTGTTATGTATTTTAAACCTTTACAATTCTGTATTTTTCGGAAACACATATAATAAAGACGTAAATTTTATTACTGCAAATATAGTCCAAAAGAAACACAAATGAAACCACTACCAGTCTACTCAACATTGGTAGTGAGATACAAATAACAATAAGGTTTATTAAGATTTCATTCTTCGAGTAAACCTCTAGCAAGACATGCCTCCTTGTATGTATCGTATAGAATCCCATTGTGTGTCCTTTATTCGTCATCACTCGTAGCTCCTTTTATAAACCTAAAAAGAAGTTTCAAACTTAAAGCACCCTCAACACCACATGAAACATTTGTAATCCTTGGAGTCATTCTTGTCCTTAGCCGCTTATGAAACTTTTTGGTGATATTGTTCCACGTGAAAAATTGAGGTATTTCTTCGAAAGTGAAATCGAACCAAGCCAGAATGAGAGGATTTTGGTTGTTTTTCTGGATCTCGTAATTAGACATGGTTATGACTCGTGAAAACTAAAAAATTAAAATATAGTGATTGTGTGTATTGATAATGCTTTATATGGTTTTAACATGAACACTATTTACAATACTCTCAACTCATTTGCTTCCTTTCTAAGTTTAAATGCACACAATTAACAGTGTAATATATATTTATACAATCATACGTATTATGTATCCTTTTAATGCTTAATTTCCTAGAATCATGATTATATGATTTTCCGGTGTCTAATGGATTACGTTAGAGTAAATGCACACAATTAACAGTGTAACTGATTTATACATCCATACGTATTATGTATTCTTTTAATGCTTAATTTCCTAGAATCATGATTCAATAATTTTCAGGCGTCTAATGGATTACGTTAGAGTAAATGAAAACTTCAAAGGTTAACTGTGTTTTTGCTTTTAATTATATGAAACTAAATTTTCGTTGTGTCTTGTAATCAATATGTACGTATTACTCTTATAAGTAAAAATTTTAATCAGTTTCATCTAACGTCACAACCAAATTTCTTTAAAGCGTATCTTCAAAATGGATCCTCTACTTTGTGCAAGCTTAACATCATACTTCAATTCAATTTTATTTATTTTTCTGATGGGTTACTGAACTCGAACCATTTTGTATGAACCATTTATATATTTGAGATAGATATTCTACACAAATAATTAATCTCGTGGGATGTACTCAATACATAGAGTATGTGTTGGAGTTTTGTTCTGTTGAAACTCGTAAACCAAAAACAGAGTTTAGGAAAAGGGTACTCAATTTACGTTTTTTAAAAAAGATGTTTTATTATATCTACTTAGCAGACACTTAAACTGGAGAAATAGCATTCAGCTGGTAAATCAAATTATTAGGCCTAACGAAACAATAACAAAACAAACTGAGTTGTGGACTTCTGGCCAATGAGTCTTTATTTGGGAAAATATTTTTAAAAAACTGAAAAGTGAAAGATCCAGCTTCTACTGTCTTGGTGATATTGTTGGAACATGTGTTCACACACTACCAACATGTTCCACTCCTTTTCATTTCTTGTTTTTTGCCTCCAACACTTCAGCCTTGGTCAATTTTTCCTCCTTTATTTTGATCACCTTAATGTTCTCGAGACATAATTTCTTGTTAGTTGAAGCTTGATCTTTAGGAGATTCGGATTCATCAATTGACCTCTTGGAGAAGGTGTGGTTGACTAAGAAACATCTTGACTATTTGTTAGTAGTAGGGAACCCTATGGAATCACATATAACACAATCAAGATGGTGTTCACGATATTTAAATTACTTGGCTTTTTAAGTATGTCGTTGTTGTAATGTATTGATACTCATACATGATTACCAATACTATCATCAGGAGGATGATTATCACCACCGTTAGAGTCATCCAAGGTGTCCTCATTGGCCACCGCATCTTTGTTAGTAACTATTGCTCTACATTCAGCACAAAACCATCGAGGTTTGTAAACAGCTGATACATTCCCATTGCTGATAGAAGACAATAAAAGACAAAAGAAGTATCGATGAAAACTGAAATCAGATTTGTTTTGAAAATGTGAATAAATATTTTATTTCTTGAAGGGTTATTTTGATGGAGCTTTGATTCTGTGTGAGGATTGTAACGTGAAAGGATGGTTGCTCTGTGATTTCTGTAAAGGTTAGAAAACAAATGTGAAATCTGTGAACAATCAAATCTATCGTAAGAAGAAAATGAACTAGATTTGGGGATTTTTTGTTTTTGAGGTTTTAATTGGGTTAGGTTTAAATTATATTGGTTTATGAATGGTTAAAATGAGTCTCGTCTACAGTAAACCAATAATAACCCAGCTTGATGTGTAAATCAGTTTCGAACTTTAATTTTATGGAGAAATAAGTTTCGAACTTTGGATCTGGGGAGAAATAATTGTAGAACTCTTTTTGGAGGGAGGCACAGACAGAGGCTAAAACTTTGGGTGGAACTGGTCGTATATGAAAGTTCCCGGGGGGA